TCGTTGACTCTTTGAAAAGCTTTTGACCTTTGTCAAATAAAAGTGGGGCGTTACAAGTATGCTTCCAGTACCTTAGCATCTGATTTGAATCAAAGAAGCTCTGAACTGCACAACATATATCCTTCTTGATGATGGGCCAGAAATGTTGGAAAAACAAACCGGTCATTCCATCTTCACCTGGAGATTTCTCAGGATGAATAGGAAAGACAGCGTTTTTAATGTCAGTTTCCTCCACAGGGGCAGTTAACAGTCTGTTCATGTCATCTGAAATGGTCTTCTGAATGTTGGGCAGAAACTCATGGCCATTAGTAGATCCCTTTGTAGTGAACAGATCCTCATAATAAGTACTGATAGCCTTCTCAATCTCTGCCATATTAGAGCTCATTCTATCCCCATCAACCAAAATCCTCTCAATAGAATTTCTCTTTCTTCTCTGCATCACAAAAGCATGAAAGAATTTTGTGTTGTTTTCCCCTTCCTTGAGCCACAGAGCACGAGCCTTTTGCCTCCAGAAAGCTTCCTCAGAACAATTTGCTTCATTCAACTTTTGTTGGATTCTTTCACAGGCTTCCCAATTCATGTACCCTCCTTCTTTCCTCATCTCAGCTAATTGAAGAGAGAGTCTGTCAATCTTAGCAGCATTTTCAGATTTGAAATGTCTACTCTAAATGAGTAGAGCCTCCCTAGCCTTCTTGATTTTTCCTTTAACCATAAACATAGGGGGGTTGCCTTCCAAATTTTCTTCCCAAGCAGATTGAACCACTTCATGAGCCTCACTCCTTTGAGTCCACCTTTTATCGAAAATAAATCTCTTCTTCTGTCTGTTGGAATCTCCCTGAGTATTAATCACCAACATACTATGGTCAAAGGCACTTCTGAACCAACTAGAGACTTTGATAGCAGGATAATTGGATAACCACCCAAGAGACACAAAGACCCTGTCAAGAAGTTCTTCAACAAAATCCTTGCCAGCTCTGTTGTTTGCCCAAGTAAACTGCAATCCCCTCAGAGGGAGTTCTTGGACCCCCATGCTATTGAGAAAGCCATTGAACCCTCTGAAGCTGCTGTCAGGTCTAAGCCTTCCCCCTTTCTTGTCCTTAGGACTTCTCAAGTCATTCCAGTCACCTGCCATCCACCACCTCTCACCCCAATTTGACTTCTCATCCAACAGTCTACCCCATTGAACCTCTCTCTCAGATTTTATAGGACTGAGGTAAACAAAAATAGCCCAACCAAAACAATTCTCCTTAGATATCTGAAATTGCACAGCAACAAAAAAGTAATCACTAGAAATATGAAGAACTTCTACATCCTCATCCCACAAAAGAAGAAGCCCTCCACTACCTCCTATAGGATCCACAGAGAGATATCTATCCTTGAACCCCAACTTAGTACAAACAGATTTAGTGAAATTATTTGGTTTTCTAACTTCAGATAAAAAAAAAGAAAATTTGGGTGATGGATCCTTAAGGATTCCTTGATCTGGGAAACTGTAGAGGTCCCACCCAGACCTCTACAGTTCCACACCTGAGCTTTCATTGACACCTTCAGGGTCCTTTAAGGCTGCCCCTCAACTCCTGAATCTGCAAAGTTTTGGATTTTTTGTCTCTAGACTGGGAATGATCATCATCTTGCTCCAAACTCATAGCTTGGTCCTCTGGTTCTCTGGGTCTTTTTGAGGAGGTGGAAGAATCACCCATTGAGCACTCCATCCCATTACTAGAAAGTCTACCCTCTTTAATGCCCTTTCTTTTCCAAGTCTTCTTGCCAATTATAGATTTTGGAAGAACTCTTTTATGACTCCCTTTAGGCCCTTCCAGATTAATTTGTTCCTCTGGAATGACTACAAGATCAAATTGATTATCTCCATTATTATCTGGCAAGGAAAGACTCTCCAAGTTTGGCTCAGGCTGTGGCTCCACAAGCACCAGACCTCTTTCCCTTATTTCCCCTGAAGATTCCTCTCCCAACTTGGAAACTCTGGACTCCACCCTTTCTATACTTTTTCCTTTAGAGCCCTTATTTCTACCTTCCTCAGAGCCTCCCCTAGGAGGGTCCTCGTTATCAGCCACGGCATCCTGGATATTTACAGGAGATGATGGAGAACCCCCTTCTTGCCCTGAAGACTTCTCAGATTTTGTCCAGCTTAGCCCCTGCAATCCCTCAGAAGCCCTTAACCAATCTCCATATTGACCCTTCTTCAACCCATCATTTGCAATGTCCTCAATTCTGAGCTCATAACCTTTCTTAATATGTCCTACTTTGTCGCAGTAAAAGCACAAATTCACTAACCTTTCGTACTTGAAATTTACTGTGACCATTTGTGAGCCCAACCTTATAGTGGCGCATCTAGGCAGAGCCTCGTTAAGGTCCACAAACACCAGCAGCTTCAGGATTCTCCCCCCTTGGATCCCAAAGTTAGAAACAATAACGTTGAACGTTGACGGAAATACTTTGCCAATTCTGAGACCCACTTCATTAGTTAACCAGTTGAGAGGAACATGGTGGACTTGAACCCACATTTTGAGTTTGGAGAAACAATCATTTCTGCAATTCAATCATTCCTTCCATCTCGTGATAATTAGATACTGGTTCTCGAAAATCCAATTGGTGCCGCTCTCAATACGAGTTAAATCCCCCAGATTCTCGAAGATAAATTGGAAGAAATTTGGCCCTAGCTCACGAACCTCCATTGGCTGTTGCGGTTTCTAGATTAGGCTCATGGCTCGCCTAATCCCAATCACATGAGCACGTTTTCCTCCTATAATCTTACCAAACAAACTCTTATGACATTCCTCAACCCTTGTTTGAACATCATCATCTCGAAGGTCAATGATTTTGTTTTTGACTCGAGAAAAAGAAAAAGCCCTCAATCGTTGTTCGACCTCCTCCGCCAGGTTACTGGTATTGACCCCTTCTATGAACCCTAGATTCTCAATTGAGGGAAGCAGCTAGAAGAAAAGAGGAAACCGAAATCCAAAAAGGAAAGATGATCCGAAGATCAAACGCCCAGACAAAGGAATGAACCCTCAAAAAAGGGAAAGGAACTCTCCAATGAGAGAAAAGACTCTCCTAGAGAGAGAAAACCTTTTTACTAGCCTGAAATAATCACATAAGACCTTCTTCAACCGGAAAACTCAAACTCAAACCCATTTTGCGGTAACTGTCACATTAAAAAGTAATTCATCTCCAACCGAAAAACTCATTCTCAAACCCAAAAGAATATTCTCATTCACATCAACTTTACAACTTTTCAATACTACCTACATATTTAACAAATTTACAAATTAGACCCCTAATTGTTTTATATTCAATTGAAAAAATAATAAATTAATTTAAATAAATAATAAGTATTAATAAAAAATATCTAATACCTATTTTCGAGTAAGTAAAAAACTAAAATATTCTTTATTTTAAATTTAAATAATGTTATCAAAAGTTTATATTATTTAAATTTATTATAAATATTTTCTTAAACTTTTCTAAAATCAATTCAAACTTTTTTAGGAATATTCTATAAATATTTTACAAGTACTTTCATAATTTGTTGATTCAAAGAAATATCTTAGAAATATTTTACAAATACTTTCATAATTTTTTTTATTAATATT